CTCCGATATCTTATATAGGACACTCCTGTTACTAAACCCCAGAATGCTACTAGCCTTTTTGTTTTCCAATTGCATCATGTTGGCTCATATTCAAGTTGTTATCCATTATATCCCCATTTGTCTTATCACCACATACCTGGTCCGACCAGTTTACTCTGGAGTCCAAACACTCTACATTTCAGATGCAGTCTTTTATGAAAGAAATCCCATCCCACTCTTCTGTATTACGCAACCAGACCAGAAATGCCAGTATGGAAAGCACAAAGACACAGTATAACTGTCATGCAAGTTTAATAAAACACAAGAACGTAATGTAATTCTGTATGTTGCTTTTCATCATATTGGGGGAAGGGGGTGGGACACCTCTAAGATTTTTGCATTCCCTCTCCCCACAGCCATGTTTTTAAACAAAGGCCTGAGGGCCCTGTGCTGAAATACAGGTTTGCGTTTCCCGCAGTTGCAGGCACAAATTAGGAATTTGCCTGAGCAAGTCATTATTGAGGCCTGAATTTCCAGAAGGGCAGAGCAACCACAGCTCCAATCACAGCCCGTGGAAGTGTGACGTTCCGGCCTCTTCTAAAAATCTGCTCCACAAAATGAAGGTTATGCACTGAATCTATACCATAGCTTTATCACTGAAACCTCCACATCAGCTAAGAATATGGTAGCAATAATTCCCCCCATAGCAGCTAAGTGTAGGCTTTTATTCTTAAACCAGGAAGAGATTTTCATCTCCCTTGTGCAACATTATTCTGTGTCTGTCATCTGCCCACCCACATTTCAAAGGCTAGAGAACTTCCTGTGGATAGTGGCTAACTGACAAATTACACAACTGCTGACTTTTATTTCAATCTCCATTGTTAGCGGCTCTCCTTCTTCACACCCATTCAGACTGTATAAAAATCAACAGCATCGAATGCCTGACCTTCAATAATTCTTTTGATGAGAACAAATTCACAACCCCTCTAGTATTACTTGTATCTTACGAATTGCATGCGAAGTTCTAGATTGTAGTAAGTCATTTGGGGAGAAAGTGTGTGTCTTGGAATTAGAGAAGTCAAAACAGCATTTCCTTCATTTCCATCCTGAAAAGCAACGTCTCCAATGCTTGTCCAGCAAACAGCTCAACATCAAATCTATTTGTGTAACTTGGGAGACACATCATTTGTGGAAAAATAGATATTTAATCACACCGCTGGGGAAGTGGGCGGTCATGCTTGCTTGCTTCGTTTTAGTATTTTTTGTTCTGGTCAGAAGTTCTGTCTTTCAACCCTGAGTAAACAAGAGTTTGTGGGGAATTTTTCATAAAAATGTTTGTTTAAAAATGCCAATTCATCAGATCTGAAACTTCTCCAAAAGAGGTTTGGATTCAATGAAGCTCCCAACTAAAAAAAATTGGAAAAACGTTTCAAAATGAAAGTTTCTGGTTTGCCAATTGGAAAGAGCTTTGTTTTTTTAAATATAAGCTAATTACAGGCGAAGGAAGGTTAAAAGAAAAATGGTCAAAAGCTAAACAAAACATTCTGAAATTATTGAAATGAAACGTTTCAGTTGATCTCAACTGAACATTGTTTTTTTTGGTTCACTGATCTTTGAGATTTTGACTTTGTCTCCATCAGAGATTGTGTGTGGGGGTGGGAGTGGGGGACTTCAGACTTTCAAATATTTGAGGGATTGGAAAACCATTTCCCACCCAGTTCTAGAATAAACACGCCTAGTCACCTTTCCCAAGAATGTTCTTGATGTTATACTGGACCTTCTTTTCCTTCTATTTATTCCCCCATTATGTTGTAACCTAGCCCATAGCCTACATGTTTCATCCATATGACCGACTATTTTCTGACTTGTGACTTCTGCATAAACCACATATGATTCAGACAGCTACTTTGGAAAGATGATTTTTATTATAGTCATTTTACGTTACGTCAAATGCAGAAATACAAAAAGCTTCAAATCTTTTCATTTTGGGTATTTTTAGACAGGAATAAAACTCTTAAATATACAAGATCCACTTGCAATAAAATACCATGTACGTTTTGGGTTTTTTTAAGAAAGTGGAGCAACACCTGTGCCAGTTATCATGGGTAATCCCATTTGGGCAAATTCATTTCTAGTGTAATCAAGTCCATTGACTTCAATGAGGGTTCCATGGAAGGGAAGGGGAAAAGGTTACATAAAATAAGGCCACTCTCAGCCGAAGTTTAATGGGTTTGGATCGTCTTGCACGGACTTCAGTGCGGATTGCATAGGGTGTGAAATCAATGCAGAATTTGACAGATGAGCCAATCCTGATAACATACCATTGACAAGAATATACGTAGCAGAGAGTGTGTACCTGACAAACTGAATTCATTTTTATTTAAATAAAAATCTCAGTAGAAAGCAACACCATTGGACCACTGGACATAACGCTATCATATAAAAATAACCTCTTACTTTAACGAACAAAAAAAGTGCCTCGGTTTCCCAGTGAGCTAAATGTTACTGACCTTCTTTGTAAAGTGCTTTGAAATCTACTGAGGAAAGGCACTAGAATGAGAATTGGGTATTATTAGGTTGTCAGTGGATCATGGTCATCCTGAGACTCCCATCTCATTAAATGGGAGGGGATCTGCTTAGGGCAGAGGTTGAGAACTATGGACTTAGATAACTAACATTATCCTCTGTATTATGGGGTCAGTTTAGCTCCACCCTCCAAAATGTGCCCTCGTGTCTACCCAGTGGAATTCTTTTGGGGCAATTTTCTCTCCACCCCTCTCTGAACCTCTGGGTCCTCCTTGGCATAGCAGACAAAAGGACAGCTGCTGATCTACACTAACATCCCTATATCAGCGTCACGTACAATAAACCACAGTCTGTCTGAAAACCTGCTTTACATGTGACACTGAAGGGAAACTATCTTTTTCAGAGGAGGGACTTTAAGACATAACTTAGGGCCCTGATTAAGCAAAGCATCGAGAACGGAAGTGCTCTACGGAATCGGGGCCAGTCACGCTAGGAAAAAGGTCTTTCCAGCACACGGCGGGCTTGGACAGGAGACAGCTACCCTGCCTCCATCGAACTCAATGGCAAAGCTCCCCATGAGTTCTGTGGGAGCAGGCCCATAATGTAAAATGAAGGCAGCTTCCTGGTTAGAATCACAGTGAGGACAAAGAACGAGGAGTACTTGCGGCACCTTAGAGACTAACAAATGTATTTGGGCATAAACTTTCGTGGGCTAAAACCCACTTCATCGGATGCATGCAGTGGAAAATACAGTAGGAAGATATATATATACACACACACAGAGGACATGAAAAAATGGGTGTTGCCATGCCAACTCTAACGAGAGTAATCAATTAAGATGAGCTATTATCAGCAGGAAACAAAAAATGTTTGTAGTGATAATCAGGATGGCCCATTTCAAACAGTTGACAGGAAGGTGTGAGTAACAAACTACACCATTTGCTCAAGAAAGTCCCTGAAAAAGCACAGGGACAAATCTGCACAGACACACCCCTAGACCCCAGACCAGGGGTATTCTATCTGCTACCCAAGATCCATAAATCTGGAAATCCTGGACACCCCATCATCTCAGGCATTGGCAGCCTGACAGCAGGATTGTCTGGCTATGTAGACTCTCTCCTCAGGCCCTACGCTACCAGCACTCCCAGCTATCTTCGAGACACCACTGACTTCCTGAGGAAACTACAATCCATTGGTGATCTTACGATCTAAGGTGGCACAAGTACTCCTCGGTCTTTTTGCTGATACAGACTAACACGGCTACCACTCTGAAACAGTGAGGAGCAGCCAGCCTGCTAGAAGGTCTCTCTATCTTGTGAAATATTTCCCCCGGATATTTAAGCCTTCCCGTCGTCATTCCCACAGCTTTACCTAGGATGAGATGTGATGATTACGTAAGTGGCTTGCACGGTATTTCTTCTATGGAAAATGCCTATGAGCAGGGGCTGCAAAGGCTTGTCGCGCACAAGACTGTATCAGGCTTGCATGGGAAGAGGCACTTAATACAAAAGTGTTGGGGCCTCTAGAAAACCCCTAGTGAGAAGGCCTGGGAAGCCTTCTTCCTTCTGCACAAGCAACCATCTCTCCCAGCACTGAAGGGCAGCAGGCCGGGCCCCAGCGGACACACCCCAGCCTCGGAGATGCACAGGCTGCATGCTTAGAAGCGTGTTCGGCTCCTTATCCTACCAGCACAAATAGGTAGGGGATGGGCATCTGGTTGCAGCCCAAAGCAAAGCTCTTCCATCCAAGAGGTTGTTGAGGAGGTGGGGGGAACGGGCTGAGTGCTCCAACACCGGGGAGCTCAGTTGACATTTGCCCACCATTAAGCATGACCCTACCCATGGAGTGCCGCTCGAAAACTCAGGATTCTGGAGCAGAGAGCTGGAACCCTGCTTCTGCCCCTCCTAACAGCTGTGGCCCCAAACGAGGAAGCCAGCTGGCTTTTCTTCCCCTAGCTGTACGGCGCTTGGAAAATAGAGCGACAAGAAGCGGAACTAGCTTTAGCCTTCCTGCCCTCCCCTCCCACCCCAGGGCAAGACTGTAGTTATACGAAGGCACATGGCAATACAGATATCTCTGAGACAGAAATACACGGGGGTCTAAAGACTTCCGTTTCAGTAGTTAGATAAATGGTTAGTTAAGCCTCCACGAAGCTAATAAGGACTTGGTGGGTTTCGCAACAAACCAATAAGCCAAAGCTATATTATTAGCTCTTCTGTGTCTCCCCACCAAACCGCATCACAAGGCATAGTGTTCCAGAAAACATTTATCTCCGAGACTTACAGTAAATAGCCACTATCTTTTTAGCGTTTCAAACGCACTAGAGTGCAGCACACGTCTTTAGTTCGACATGAAAGTTCCTGTCTAGTGGCAACGGAAATCCAGTTATTGATTGGCCTCTAGGATGCTGTCCCATAAGTAGAAAATACTCATTGTAGATGGACTTCCCTTATGCTTTTTGACAAATCCTGCAGTATCTCGTCAGCCAGACTGCAGCTCAATCCATTGTACAGTAAATGGATTTGTTTATTAACCTAAAAAGCACAGCTTCCCATCGTGTTTATACTTCTAAGTTTGTTCGTGACCCTGAGGAGCCATTTTAGCATGATCTTCCAGATGTCTCCACTGAACGCGGCTGGGATTACTGCCCGCAAAGGTCAATCTGTTTATTGGATTTTGACTCTGCAGCAGGAGTTGTCGTCTGCATGTTGTCTTGGCTCTTCAGGGACATCTGACAGCACAGTACAGAACGGATTACCCTCAGCACTGAAGGTCTAAGGATGACAAAGACCCAAGGGTCAATAATTGGATTAATTGCTAAGAACCTCAGCGCTAGAAGGTCCCTCTTATCGTCTTGGATTTCCATAAACTTGTTCACATAGGCATCAATCTGTAAAACAAAGGAAAAATAAAATGCAAGACTGATCATAGGAATATTTTAATGCACAAGTATAAAACACCACTTCAAAGGAACGTCTATATTCACAGCAGATGTTTTGTTTTCAGTGTTTTAAGTGAATTTCGTTCTAATGAGATGCCAAGCTGGTGGACGTAAAGACTAGCGCTGGGTGGGAGACTTTTTTATGTGTCCCGTGAATATTTTCAAGAATTCAAAATTTTTTCCATGTCTTGATTTGGGAGGAAACGTCAAAATCTCGAAAATATTTGTGAACTGAGAAACCCCCCTTTTTTTTTTCATTTCAGGCAAATCAAAACGTTGATTTCAAAAATTTGCCATTTCAATTTTTTTACCCCTTTTCAGTCTAATTAGTTTAAATTTCAAAAGGAAAAGTCCTTTTGAACTGGAAAACTAGAATTTTTCGTGTAGAATGTGTCAAAACGACACTGACAATTTCAAAACCTTTTTTTTTTTCCTCAACACTTTTTTCAAGTCAGGAAATTTGTCGAACTCCACGCTGTTTCATTAGCAGTTTAGGTTTCAACAAATTGATTTTTTTTTTCATTTAAAATATAAATAAATAAATTCTTGACTAGCTCTAAAGACTAACATTCTTTTTTTATCCACAGGACAGGCAGAGTATGAGCAGGCTCCCACAATGCACACTTCTCTCCATGCTGCCTAACCAATATATAGAGCTGATCAGGAACTTTCCGACACATTTTTCCATTGCAAAATGCAGATTCGTTGAGTGAAACACTTCACAGAAACATGTCTATTTCATTGGGGCGGAGGGTGGGGAAGCTTTTTGACAGCGATGAAGCATTCCACTTCAACGTTTGCAGAACAGAATGTTTGGATTTTGTTTTAAAACTACTTTTCATTTCAAAATTTCTTCTTTTTTTAAGTATCAAAATCGGAACAAAATGTTTCCAACAGAAAGTCATTTTTTTCAGAATTTCATTTTGTGGGAAATTAACTTTTTTAGTTTTGTTCTGGAATGGAGGGGAGGTGGGGGCAGGGCCGGCTCCAGGCACCAGGCACCCAAGCACATGCTTGGGGCGGCTCCTGGTAAGGGGTGGCGGGGGGAGCGCGGCACGG